CAAAAATAACTGACTCTGTTGTTTTTCTAACACAGGTGTATCGAAATTCTGGGCCTTTGGATTTCTTGTCCAGATGAACAGAAAGATGCAAACTGCTTTTCAAACCTTCCAAAAATAGCGATAGTCACTGCCATTTTACAGAAATGCCAAAGCCAAGAGAATGCTGTTGACCTGGCAGCTATAGTACTTTTCACTGCCAAGCAGTAAAAATTATAATTTTAAAAGTCTGTGTCAAGTATATTCATCCACTGGTCAGTAACAACACATTTTAATTCAATATATCTAGTCATTATGGTCTAAAAGTGAGAGTGGTGAGCACTTAAGCCCACCTGTCTGCTGGCTGCTGTTTGGCAGGTTTTCTAAGTCCTCATTTTAGTGAGATATTTGGACTGTTATTGTCTGGGGATGTTTGATTCTTGTATTGCCCAACAGAAATGTAGTGAAGAATCCTCCTTCTTGGTCATCCTTGATATTAATAATTTCATCACAAAAAAAATTTTTTAGAAGGTTAATGGACTTAACAACGCATGATTGTAATTGATATAAAGATATTAGTAGTAGGTTCCCAAATACTCCTTAGTTAAGGACATTTGTATATTTACATAAAAAGGTAATCAAATATAGTTCTTCATTCACTTTGCAAAAAAATAGTATAGTTATAAGAAATTTGTTACTGCTGGACCTACTCTGTAATTATAAATATTAATTTAAATGTGATGAAAAATTCTTTCTATCTTGTTTGATTACTGGCAACAGATGCTCAATGGTGTGTATAAATGTAAAACCATATGTCAGATAAAGCAATACAGTGGTTTTTCAGTGAAAACAGTAATGTATCTTGCTTTACTTAATATTTGTCTAATGATGGCATACAGAGGGTCATATTCATACCACAGTATGGGGAAAACTCATACTTTGTAAAAACAAATTCATTTTCTCTGTTCTGAAAGTACAGCTGGGCTCTAAATACAACTAGCATAGAGAACAGACAAAAAGGAATTTTTTAAAATTTATTAATTTTGTTCTTGTGGCTTTATTTATGGGATAAATCTTTCATTCATGGTGAATTTCCTTTATTTTTGCTCATCCATAAAAGAGTTTTAAGCTTCCTTGCTTCAGTGTTTCAGTCTCATTTTTACAAAAATGCTGAAATCAAAAATACAGATTTGTGGCAAACTTTCCCCTCTAATTTCACTGTTATTTCCTTATGCAATTTGTATACAACTCAGTTGCCACTTCACAAAATCCCATACAGTATAGAACTATCACTTCTGACATGTGTGAATGTCAGATTTATGAACTAGTATTTAGCAGTAATAGTGCTATCAACTGTTTCTCAGAAAAGTCCAGAAACTATTTAGAAATTTAATAATGATTTTAGCAATTCATTTTGCCTAGTCTCCAGACTCCGCTGTATTAAAACCATTTAGTAACTCTGACAAGGTGGAAACAAGCTTCTGGGTTCATTTTTAGGAGAAAATGATTCACAAACAGGATAGTGACAGGCTTTTATGATTACAGATTTCACATATTCTATTCCTTCAAAAGGGCTTATAGAGATTGATAGATCTACAAAGAAAGAAATGAAAAAATGAAGGGAAGAGATATAAATAGACTTTTTCATTAGGATGAATGATGGAAGGTATTAACCCCACTACAGCAGTGTGCCTTTTACATGTCTATTTTGTTTTATCCCTTTTGACCTGCTATCATCTTCCTTCCGCGTATAAGTTAACTACAGTGGGAAACGTAGGTAAGGTGAGCAATAGCTGGAAATAAATGTTTTCTCAAGCATTATTACTGTTCAGAAAAGTGTCCATCAGCCAAAATGTCAGGCTCAAAATCCATTTAAGCACTGCATAGAGGCTAAGCAGGCAGCTTTTATTAATTTTTAAGTCTGCATGACAGGTTTCAGACCAAGAACTGGGGTTAACTTGATGCAGTGAATATTGCAGTGAATTTATTCTGTGAAAACTACTGCAAAATTATGATGGAATAGCTGCATCTACCTGAGAAAAGAATCTGCTGTGTCATATTTAAATGTATAAAATTGCTCTTTAGTTGCAGTTTCTTGGACTTTCATCCTAATGTAAACACTGTCTACTTTTAAGTTGTTTTGAAGAACCACTGTATTGGCATCTCAAATAGTTTTCTGTTCATCATGCTAAGTGAATTTTTCCAGAACAAGTTGTGTTCTTCTCAGCTAATAACTAAACCAAACAATTTTCTCACTGTGCCTTAAACAGTGAGATACATTTATTTAAAATGAATCTGTCAGATTGCTGTGAAGGAGTTAACATTTGTCTTTAATGCATTTATCTATAAGCATAGAGGACTCTAAAACACAAATGGCACTAAGAAACAAAGTGAAATATTAAAAGGGTCCTTATTTGCTTTTGATTGGATTCAGGATCTTAAAAGGCAATAAAAAAGTAACAAATCAGAAATTACTTCTCTCCAATGGCTGTAAAATCTCTTAGCTGTATCTATTCCACTTCTTTGCTCCTCTTTTTCCTTCCTTTGCACACTGCTCTTGCCCCTGCCCCAGGTCACCCTCTGCTAACTAAAAAAAACTATTCGCACATGGGTCTAGATGATTATAGGTAAAGGTACAAATGAAATGGGAAATTTGCCCCTTCCTAACAAAGGACGTTGAGCTGAATTACACCATACTTTCCAAGACAAGTGGGATGATTTTCACCTGCAACAGAAGACCAAATTACCATCGACAGTTCTGAAAGATAAGTGGAAATTAAATGCAGATCCCTGAGTCCTTTGTGGAGAATGGGAACTGGGTTAGTTTTACATACTGGATCACCTTAGCACTTGATGTGTTTTACTGGTTGATAAATATGTTGTTCTCCATTCTCAGTGATTTAAATTTCCATTGGTATCATATGGCTTGAAACTCTCAAAAGACAGTGATGTGGGCACACCATCAGAGGAAAGTGAATTGGGGCTCATCTCTTCTGAAATAGGTTTTTGAAATGAACAGGGCCCTTAATTTGACAATAACCCTCTTGTGAGGCCCTGAATATAAAACACATAATGCTCTTCAGCATGTGACTACTTTCCCTGAACACGTATTACTTGATGGGAGTTGTGTCTTTCTTTTACACATGCATAAAACAGGGTGCGTGAAGCACACTATAAAAGGATAAACAAAACCAACAGTAACATAACATACTTGTGTAAAAAGTAAAGAGCCTGTCTTCTCAAGTACAAATGTATTTGTGTTTGCATGTGGGTTTGCTTGTGCACTATTTCCCTTTTAAAGGCACGGTAGTTTGTGCCATCTTCATCAGTCTGCAGGCCTTCCCTAATGCTTAAGGTAGCCTTCCTGTTCCAGGAATTTAATTAGTAACTGTCTCAAAAAGTTTCCAGCTATCTATATGAAGCCCTAGCTACTGTCATGACTCATCACAGCCTTATGGAAAGGAGTTGCCTCTGCATTTCACTGATCAAAGACTATGTTTATATATCCCAAACTATACAGCCCTTGTGCTGCTGTGCCATCTTCTGCTGATACCCCGTGTTACCAGTTTCTGCCTGTCAGTTTCCAGCTTTCCAAAGAATCATTTCCTAGGCTTTTGCACCTCAAGACCTACATTTTATGGCTTCTCCAAGTGTTCATATTTCTCCTTTACTAGCAGCCATCTTTATCCAGGCTCCTCACATCTCTTCACAGTACACTATGTGCACGACATCCTTATGACTCCTTCCCACTCAATTTTATCTGAGAATCTCTTTGATTCTTCCTAACGGAAATCTAAATGAAAGTGTTACAATTTGACTCTAATGTCAGTTGCACTATGAAGGAGAACTGAACGTTGTACCATTTGTAGCAATGGAAAAGTGTTTTGTTTATGGTCCTTCGCACTGTTTTCAATCAAACAGTCTGCTTTTCTATCACAGACATGAATTACTTGAATTATGTCTTCAATAAGACTTTCCAGATATTATCAAATGCTTTCCTACAAACTAAATTAATTTTTCCAACTATATTAATTTCACCCACTAATGCTATTCTGTGAAGAAACAAAGCAACTCTGTAAAGATTTATGAATAAAAGGTTATTAATAAATATTTGGTTGTGTATTATTTATCCTATAGCCTTGAAATGCTATTGACATTTGTTCTTTTTTCTTCCCCTAGAGGGGTTACCGTTTAACTCCCCATAAGTGAAAGGAAACAACTTTCATGATCATGTTGCTTGTTTTCTAGGTTTGTTCTTGTGCTTGCTCCTCTTTGCTCATCCAATATTTTCCCATTCTCATTACTGCTTTTAACAATGGCTATGCTAGTTATGTGTGTATGGTGACATCGTTAGGCAATTCTCACAATCTCTATTCACACAACATCCTAGCAAAAGGTTCAGCATATTCAGATTTTTTCAATACCTATTTAATGATGTTTTGAGAAATACTTTTTTAAAGGTGTGCACATTTTCAAAGTTATGGAACAACATGAGTATGTATATAAGAGTTTTATTGATAAAGTCAAGTTAAGAACATGGGCTTAGCATTTAAATGCATGGTCTAGTTACCTGTAGGGGTTGATCAGGTTTACCTAATTATTGATCAGAGCGATATCACACACTGTAAGTGGCTTGATCCGTCATCTCCATTAACTTTACTGATAAGTTGTCATTTGAAGAACAGGCTAAATAGCTTTGGGAGCTTTGATTCAAATTTAAGCATACATACATAAAGACATATGTATGTATATATATATGCATGCAATGTGGATCACATAATTTTCATCACTGTGACTGGCTCATGCGACAGGTTCACAAATCTCTATGAGGAAGTTTAGCAAGTGCAATCCTACCTAGATAAGACAGTAGTACCTAAATAAGCATATCTTTGAGCACGACTGGCTGTGTACATGAATGCCAGTTTCTGCCATTTTTCAAACTTTGCCTTGGTAGTCAACGCAAGACTAAGTCTCACCCCAGGTACTGTGGCTCCAGATATGGAGAGGTGTGTATCAGTACTTACAGCTGTCCTCCTCCTCCATGAAAATACTGATCACGTAACAGGCATACACAAATCCAATCAGCTGTATGAAGGAAGAGGGAAAAAAAAATCATCAGAACACACTGAACACTTATCAGGCTTTCAGTACAACAATGTAGAAATACAGCTAAATGCTAAAAATATTTGGTTTTATTTCCTGCATTTGTAAATTTCAGTGCAAATAGTCAGAAATAGCTATATTAAAGAGATTTCCTCCCTTTTGATCATGTTGCATAGCATATATTTTATATATAAATAAATATTTTATATTTTAAAATATTTCCCCAGTCCCACTGGGGTTAGTATAGACGAATACTACTATTAAGTAATACTGGTGGAAAAACTCCTGTACCTTGACATTCAGCTATTATTTACATTTTTTTCTTTGTTCAATACCTCTGTTCTCACATGAGTTTTCTCACATGAGTTTTCCCACATGCATGTGGGCCCTCTGTGCACCTCGTATACTTACTAAACGGACAAAATATTTATTGACTGCTACAGAATTCAGTCATAGTAACACTTCTATGGAATCCACAAGAGATGTCTTTTTGTGTTGCATAAAGTGTCCCAGTGAAGAACTGTTTGGAAAAAGTTTAAATTTATATGTGAATTCTCATGATGTAGCTGAACAGTAAAACTGGTTTATGATTCAGTGACATCAGGAAACATCAGAAGGGCCTATCAGTACTTCACAATAACTATGCCAATAATGCGCAGACTCATTTCCCCAAAGGACAACACCACCCAAACCATGCCATTTTTTTAACAACTGCACTCACAAAAACATCCTCCTAGACCTGGAATTGTGTCACTTGTGTCATCAAGAAGAAGGGGTTAGAATCTTTAGGATGAGGAAATAGAAACTCCACTCATTTGTTATCAATATAGACAAAATGTTTTCTTATAACCACCATCAAAGAAGAAGAAAATCCCACTGGGCAAGTAAACCTATTCAACTGCACTGCCCAGACATGCCCATGCCTGAGAAAATATTGTTTGTGCAGCTTTACACAATTAAAGCTATATGAAAGCCTTGAAAAGACTCTTCATGAGAGATTTCTACAATAATCCAGAGATTAGTTTTAAGAAAACTCCTTTTTCACTGATCCATTCAAAAAATCTAATTAAAACAGTTCTTCTTGGGATGTCACAGATCAACCATCTGAGAAAGAGGTAATTTAATAATATCTAGACAGGTATAAGCTCATTCAGAACACAGAAATTATTCCAACCTGCTTTCTGGTGTGGCTGCATGAGGAGCTTTACAAGCAGCTCCAAGAGCCTCTCTGCAGACAAAAAGCTTGTCCACACAAGGGAATTCAGGGAAGTTAAGATGAATTAACTAAAGCTGTGAAATCAATGCGCATAAGATAAAGTACATTAAATCCCTGTGTGGCCTTTCCCATTCAGAAATAAAGTGGCCCTAGTTCACTGCAGCTTAATCCTTCTCCAAGGGATTAATCTTCCCATGGAGAATTAAGCTACAGTATGCTGAAGCTGAGTTTATTATGAATGAGAGCTGTCACAGCGCTGTGGCACGGTCCTGTCAGAGCTTCCTCTCTAGGGCATTCACGTCACTGGTGTTTTGGGAAAGTGAGTTTAATCCAACTTTCCTCTCGTTCTGAGCAGATGACAGTATTGGCAGCTTCCTTGGTAATTTTTGTGTCCAGTTTACTGGGGTGGTATTGCCATAGCCTCTGTCAGGTGAACACCACTTTGTTATACTGATGCTCTGAGGCAGCTAAATGCAAACCAGCTCTGGAGGAGGTGCTCACTGGAGGTGGCCAGGACCAAGCCATGCCTGAGCTACCCATCCCCACTGTGCCTGGTGTGAGGTTGCTGCCGCTGGATGGGACCCGCAGACACGGTAGGGCTCGCTGGTTTGCTGCATGTCCACCTTTACCTGCTGAAGACTCTGCGTGTGATTAAGAGAAGTCCAGCCACCTGCTATTAATGATAATGGGATCTTGTGGTTCTGCTGCCCAGCACATCCAGGACCAGCACTGATTTACAGACTCCTTGACAGATTAGGCACATTTCTTCCCTAAACTTCATAGTTTGGAGTACCTTTCAGGCATGACGACAAAAATAATATGATCTAAAGGCTTCCATGGAATTGAAAGACTAATCATACTTGAGGTATAATGCTTGCACCACCCGAACGTACCACAGAAACATCAGAACATAGGTTCTGGTGTCCATGATTTTTCATAACAGAATGTCATCTGTTTATTTACAATATTTCCTGTTCACCGTTTGTGTTGTGCAATTTGACTACATAAGTCACGTGGGTTTGTTTCTTTTCCCTAAACATAACTGAAATATTTTGAAGAGTAAAACCACTAAATAAATAATGAACATGATAAAAATGACTAGTAGTACAGCTTGTGGGTTTAAGTGTTTGTGAAGGAAGATCCAATATTTAGAATTATTTACTATTTTCCCATCATGTATTTTCTCTTGTTATTAGTATTCTGTATTAAATTAACTGTATTTTTATGAATGCAATTCCTTCTTTATATGTTCATGTGCACTCTATATCCATGCATATTTTATAAAAATTCTCTCTGTGAGAGCTTCTAGTAAACTTCTCACATATCTAATGTGTTGAACAGGTGGATAAAGCACAGCAAGACTTCCACTCTAATGAATAATAAACCATCTGACACAAAGAACAAAAGCAATAGGGAAAACTTGGAGAGGTCTTCCCTTCAAAAGAATGTGGGTCATGACAAACCTGATTGTTTTAACAGTCCTAACAACTTACATCTTGCTCTTTCACTAGATCTTCATCTTAAAGTAAAACTTTTCCCACTCTCTTCAATGTTTGAAACACACTTTGCCTAATCTATGAGCTTCTCACAAAATCAGCAGTCTCTGCTTCTCAGAACTATATTTCTTTATATTTCTCACCATTAGTAAATAAATATTCCTCAGTCACTTAGGAATCACTGTTACCTGTTGTATTTATGGCATATATTTGTTTAAAAGACACCATTTTCCCCATCTGTTTAGTTATTAATACCAGGAGAAAAAAAAAGTACATTTGCCTTCTCTGAATTTCATGGTCATGGAGGGGAAAACAAAGATGAAATCTCTAACCATGTCAGGAGATATGACCTACCATATTTCAAGAATATCTTTCTATAGTTTAATGTCAGAATGAATGTTTCTGAAAAAAATAAAGCAACAAAGAGGAAAAAGAGCTCTTTAGCATCATTTGTCAGGTATTGCTGTTCAGAGGTGGACAGCAACATGTGGCATGTAACTAACAAACTAATAATTATAGTTGGGTTACTGATATTTACAGTACAATTAACATGAAGTGATAAAGTGAAAATATAGCCTTTGATATATGAGACCTGTTTTCAGATCTTTAAAAAAAGTTACAGCCACCACAGTGTGAATATTTTTAAAAATTAATTGATTAAAACCTCTTATTTTTTGTTATTGATGGACTCATTAACAAAGTATTTATTCCAACAACTTACTTTTACTATCTTGATTAACCCAGCTGCTGTTTAATTAATAGTGTTATGTGAACCCATGAAGCCAACATGCTAATTGTCAATCTGCAGTGAGCTGACTAAAGTGTACTGCCCAGTTTCTTGATATTGGAAATGTTGGCTGTTGGCTTCAAGTGATAAGACTTAAAAGTGTGTTCCCTGATAACTAAAGAAAATAGGATGCAAATGAGCTGTAAGATACTTAATATGGTCATCTTTAGTTTCTGTAATCATTCCAAGGGAACAATGAAGTGGTTGGAATAGGATATCCAAAGCAATAAAAGTCACTAGCACCTGGAAGAATAAGCAGGAGCCTCTGGCTTGATCCAGAGAGCAATTTAGGTGCCAAGGTGGATTTGTCTTGATGATATTGAGTTCAAGGCCTTGAAACCTTCTGTGTCCCCTGCACTGTACAAGACTACCTATCTTGCCTGGAGACCCCCGCCTAGTAAAGTGTCTCAGAAGACACCAGTGTTATTCTACAGAAAATAGATGGGAAACTGTGGGAAGAGGCTGTTGTCCCGTGCTTTCATCCAGCTACACAGTGGTCAGGGTAAACATCTTTCTCTGGAGAGAATAAGCAATACAGAAAATACTCAGCTATTTCATGGAATCACACAGTGGTTGGAAGGGAGCCTAAATATCATCTGGTTCAACTTTCCTGCCATGGCCAGGAACATCTTTCACTAGATCAAGTTTCTCAAATCTCATGCAAGCTGGCCTTGAAAACTTCCAGGAATGGGACATCCACAACTGCTCTAAGCAACCTGTTCCAGTGCCTCACCACCCTCATTGCAAAAAATGTCTTCCTTATGTTTAATCTTGATCTACACTCTTTCAATTTAAAATTGTTACCCTTCGTCTTCTCACTACAGACCACTGTAAAAAGCCTCTCTCCATCTTTCTTATAAGCTCCCTTTGTATATTGAAAGGCCATGGTAAAGTTTAAATAGGCCCAATTCTGTCACCCCTCTGATCATTCTCATGGCCCTCCAGGTGGAGTCTCTTGAGAGTATAGTAGAGGGGGAGAATAATCTTCCTCAATCCACTAGCTACACTTCTTGTGATGCAGCCCAGGGAACAGTTGGCTTTCTGGACTGCAAGTGCACTTTGCAGACTCCTGTTAAGTTTGTCATCCACCATGATACCAAAGTTCTTCTCAGCGGGGCTCCTTTCAAGCCATGCATCCCCCAGTCTGCACTGATATTACAGACTGCCCTGACCAAGGGGCAAGATCTTGCACATGGCATTGCTGAACTTCATGAGGTTCATATGGATGCACTCCTTGAACCTGCCAAGGTCCCTCTGGTTGGCATCTCTTCCCTCAAGCCCATCAACAGCACCAGTCAGCTTGGTGTCATCAGTAAACCTGCTGAGGGTGCACTCAATACTGCTACATAAGTAAAGAAGGTATGAAATAGCACTGGTCACTGTATGGGCCCCTGAGCAACACCACCTGTTACTGGCTTCCTTTGAACATTGAGCATAACTCTTTGGACACTGCCATACAGTATTTTCAGAACCACCAGAATTT